CCAAAGGAAGGCAAAAGAGGACTTTTCACCAGCACTAGATTATGTATGTTCTCCTACTGTAAAGGACGGGAGCTAGTAGGTGAACAAAATTCCTGTATTTTAGAGCATAGCAGTGGTAATGAAAGGGTTGGAAAACAGAAAAGTTGCTTTCTACCTACCAAAGGAAAACGAGCCTTTCCCTACTATTGAGCAGAGCCCAGAGAGCAAAAGGACATGAATGTGGTGTGTACATGGGACGTGTGACACCACAAGACACAGCCTCCTCCTCCTCCTCCCTGACGGACAAGGAGCAGACCGCATGGATTTTGCCAGGGGTGGGAGCACCCACGAACCCTTCGGAACAGCACTACCCACACCTTGTAACACGCGTTACCTTCCTGTGGGGTGGGGACAGACCACTTTTACCTGGATCACACTGCATCCACCCTCATGCCGGCCCGGAGTCCCGGCCATACGGCTCCCACTCGGCACCCCTCGTGCTCCAGCGCTTCACGTGGGGAAACACCGGCTCCCGTCCGGGCTGGGCGAGGAGCACGTTGTGTGGCGCGGACCGGGAGACGCCCGCCCTGGCCCCGCGCCTTTCGGCTTTGTGAACCCCGAGTTCTCCCGGCCCCGCCGCTCCCGGCCCCGCTCCCCGGCAGAGCCGCTCACCCGCGCAGCGCAGGCCCTGCGAGAGGACGAAGCGGCAGCACAGGTCGCACCACGCTCCCGCCGCCGCCGGCCCGAACCGGTGCGGGGGCTCCGGCGGCGGCGGCGCCTCGAAGATGGTGCGGACGTGGCGGGGCCGCGGCGGGGCCGGGCGGCGGCGGGCGCACAACGCGAGGCCCGGGGCGCCGGCGGGCCCGTCCGGCGGCGGCAGCAACGCCCGGCCCCGCCGCGGCTTCTCCCGCCGGTCCATGCGGAGCGGGGCGCGCTGCCCGCCGCCGCCTCTCCCCGCCTCACGCACGACACCCGCGGGCGAGGGGAGCGGGGAGGCGGCGGAGGGGAAGGAGGCACCGCGCCCGCGTCCTCCCGCGACCTGGCGGCCGCCGCGCCGCTTCCCGAGTCCTCTCGCCGTGAAACGTCTCGCCGGTCAGCCGGCCCCGTGCCCGGGAGGAACACACCCCCATCATTCGGCATAGACGCACTCGGGGATGCTGAAGCATCCCCTGGCACAGGGGGAGCTGGCAAGAACTGGTGATGCGCTTCAGTAGATTCCCATTAAAATGATATGGCTCAGTGCCTTAAAGCAGCTACTGGGGGAAATGTTTCCCAGGGCTGGACAGCGGTGACATAACCCACACCTGGATGGGGAGGCTGTGGAAGCCTGGCTAGTCAAAGCGCTCATTCAACACTTGTGTCCATTTCCAGGAGCAGACCACGACTTCGAATAAGCGCAGTGTGCCCCTGTTTGCAGCGCACCAGCATCTCAACCTGCCGCTGCCAACCTTACCTGTCAACAAGCAGCGAAGTTCTCCAGAAGATGTACATGTACAACGACTGCAGGGTGAGCGGGTACCAGTGTCAAAACAGCAGAAGTCACTGAGGGATACTACCTCTAACCACATTTTTTTTTTTTTTAATGATCGATGGAACAAATAACAACAACAAAAAAAGCTGTTAAGAGCACAGAAAATTAGGTTGTGAGGCAGCCTTGCCACTGACAGACCCGGCTACAGGAGCTCCCAACAGTTAACCTGTTCCTGTAACCCCTCTTCAAACGATAGTGCTTGGTTCCCAGGACAATCTCTTCTGGCACTTGGCCCATCTTTACTACTAGAAAGATTTTTCCAAACTTGTAAGCTGGATTTTTTTTTTCCCCAGGCACTACAGTTTATATTAATAATCTATAATCCTTTCACTGCAGACATGGTGAATGTTGATCTTCAGTAACAACCTTGAGATTGATTACCAAAGACTTTTGCTTTCCCCTTCCAATATTCCCTTCTTTCAGCTAACAACTCTCATTTTTTTCCCAGTCCCACTCAGGTGAGTTTTCCAGACCGCAGCCATCTTTTTTTTTCCTCCCCTACATTATCTTTAAGTGGCCAGTATCTCTTTTAATTTTGAAAGTGTTTAAAAAGGTTAATTTTTAAGTTTAAAAGTGCTCATCATCAAGCTGGTCACAGGCAACCAAGTTTTCCTCTGCGCAGACTGGAGTGGGCATCCATCCCACCACTTTTTTAGCTAGGTCCCTAGCTAGAAGCCAGCACAGGTGTAGCTGACCAAATGTGCCTACTCAGACCCATTACTGTGCCCTCCCTGGAAGGGATTTCACAGTAACAGCAGGCTACACAACTACTTCGGAATAGCTCTGGCTTGAGTTTTACTCAAATAAGTTCATGCAACTGCAGCTTAGTTGTCTTCTAGCCTTCAAGCTTAAAAAAACCCCCAAAAAGTAATCTTTCCAATTCAGCTTTTTCAATCCTTGCCCTAGTATTAGATCCAAAACTATTCTACAATTACCATTTCTACTGTGATTAACCAAATTGGTACTGATTGAGCTCCTCCAGTGGACTGTTTCACACTGAGAAGAGATGAGGATTTTTGCCACCGTCACAGAGAACTGATATGGTTCAGAACATATATCAGCAAAGTGGTTTAAAAAAAAAATTAAAATAAAAATGATTAGTGGCTCTACCATATCATCTATGCTAGTGATTCTGTTGTGCAGGACACATTTTCTGGACAGTTGGATAATGCAAGCTGAGCTGCAATTTGCTACTTCATATTTCAGGCTTTGTATTGTGCTTATAAGGAAATAAAACTCTTCAGGCAAAACTGAAATTACCAGAAAGTGAAATTATGGAAGGACAGAAGAACACACTGCACAATAAGTGGTTGATGATGTATTTATGCCATTAAATCATTTGCTCATGCATTTTCACAGTTCATATGAAGACAGGTTTCTTCAAGTAACAGATAATTAATATATTGAGCTAAACCCCCACAAACCAGTAAACCAGCTTCAGGAGGAAGAACCATATATTACTTTCCATTACTTTTTTTGGCAAATCAGTAGCATGACTCATAGCATCAAGACACTTTGAGCAAAAAGTTGATGATACTGTACACTACGCTTTGACTTGAAAAATTATTTGCTTCATAATAATGTAATCAGTAGATTATGAACTGATTACTTCAAGTTCCTTAGCTACTGCTTTGTTAAAATTGCTTTAGAAAAACAAATTTTAACAAGATTAAGATTGCTGATATATTCAGCAACACTAAACCCAGCAATGTTTAAAATGAACATAAAATATAACAAAATGTTTTCAACCATGTAAAAGAATGCTGCACATATTTCAATATACAGACTATACTGTTACTACAATTAACTTTGTTTTTCACACTGCTTCAGTATAAAGAAGTTAAAATTATATATTCCAAGTAACATTTGCTTTCTTTCAGGATAAAGAACTTTGAAACAACAAAGTATTACAGACATAATATTGGAAAAAATACAATTTATCCACAGAGAGTCCAATTCTTTTAATATTTATTCATGTGTTTTACTGACATTCAGTGAGACTGTGGATGTGAATGAACAAATGTACAAGCAGGCACTAAAACATTCCAGTTACACACGATTCCAGTATTTGAGAACAAAAAATTAAGAATACCATGGCTAACCAAGGACAGATGAGTAACAAACTGCTGCACTCCTTTTGCATAGCTAGGTTTTTTGGGAGACAAAGCTTGCAAAGAAAGAAGTTGCTCATATGGGTATAAAAATGTCCGAATTCCCTTTTAATATTTGATTCTCACCAAGAACACTGGAAAGCAGGTCTAGGACATCAAGGCAGTGAATTTCTTCTTCTTTTAACAGTGAAATGCTCAATTATAAATTTTGTTAAGTTTCTACCAAAATATTTTTAAAAAATTAAATGGAAATGTTTTGTATTCTGACCTGGATAGATATGCAAGGAATAAGCATCACAAAAATATCAAATCCTATCACAGGTCAATGTGTTTAGTTTATACCTGTTTCACCATTAATTATAGAAAATTCTAAATATATTTGGTCCAGCTCTTCTTACAGATGTAATGTACCAAAAAGAAGTACTATTGGACACCACTGAGCACTCATGGTTTCCAAAAGGAATGAATGAGTCCTGCAATATTTGCATGTTCTTCATCTGAAACAAGTAAGTACACTTCTAACATCCAAACAAAGGGATGTTTTCTGAGATTTTGCTTGTTTTACTCATCTCTTTTTACTCCCCTACATATTTGGAAGCAGAATCACAGAATCATAGAATCAACCAGGTTGGAAAAGACCTCTGAGATCATCAAATCCAACTCTTAATCCAATACCACAGTGGTTACTAGACTATGGCACTAAGTGGCACATCCAGTCTCATCTTAAAAACCTCCAGGGATGGAGAATCCACCACCTCCCTGGGTAGCCCATTCCAGTGTCTAAATACCCTCTCTATAAAGATTTCTTCCTAATATCCAACCTAAACCTCCCTTGGCACAGCTTAAGACCATGCCCTCTTGTTCCACTGATTGTTGCCTGGGAGAAGAGACCGACCCCACCTGGCTACAACCTCCTTTCAGGTAGTTGTAGAAAGTGATGAGGTCTCCCCTGAGCCTCCTCTTTTCCAGGCTAAACAACCCCAGCTGCCTCAGTGTCTCCTCACAGGGCTTGTGTTCAAGTTCTTTTCACAAGCCTCATTGCTCTTCTCTGTCTGGACCTGCTCCAGCACCTCAATATCCTTCCTGAACTGAGGGGCCCAGAACTCGAAACAGCACTCCAGGTGTGGCCTCACCAGCACTGAGTAAAGGGGAAGGATCACTGCCCTGCTCCTGCTGGCCACACTGTTCCTGAGCCAGGCCAGGATGCCATTGGCCTTCTTGGCCACCTGGGCACACTGCTGGCTCACATTCAGCTTCCTATTAATCCAAACTCCCAGGTTCTTTTCTGCCTGGCTACTCTCCAGCCACTCTGTGCCCAGCCTGTAGCGTTGCATGGAGAATATTTCATTCTGCATCTCTGCAACCCAACCCAGTACTGAAAGTACTAACTACTCATACTGGAAAATAGAGTCTTACTAAATTTTCCATCTGAGTTTGAGATCTCAGTCATAACTCAGCAGTGGGTATGGTCCCTTTTCAAGATCTAGACTAGTAACTTATTTTTCCAACATTCAGTTACTACTGAAGCATGATGCTATCCAGTCTGACTACCCACAAATTCTCCTCATATAAATTTTTAATATTTTTTTTAAATTATACCTGCAAACAATATCCTGAAAAAGCTATTTTAAGAACCCACTTCTCTTATGGTGAACACCAAGATTACAGGGAAATTCTGAAAGTGGTGTACTCCAAAAAAGGAATTTTGACATTCAGTCAGACATGCTGGAGTGCAAAACTTCCATATACAGAGCAGTCAAATGATTACACGCAACATGGCACCAAATATGAAGAGAGCTTAAAAAAATAGTAGTTTTCTTTCTCAAGTAGAAGTGAACTAAGTTTGGATGTGATGGAAAGAGAAATGCATTTCCGCTCTGTCCTATGCGCTTTTAGTCCCTATTCTCACACTCATTTAAAGACATCTCATTTAAGACATTCATCATGTTCTGTGGTGATCAAAGGCATTCAGCTGGACTCCTAAATAACAGTGGTTGTTAAAGGAAATCCAAAACACCTTTTATACAAGGGTGTTATGGAGTTCTGCAAGTCCTCTTGCAGTGAAGACCAAACTGCATTCTGAAAAAAAAGGCAATATTCAAAGCAGACAAACGTCAATTTCATAAACAACACCTTTTCCTTTAGGATTTCCTCAGAAATCCTCCAAGGGGCTCAATTCCCTGCCAGAAGTAATTCAATCCTGAAAGTGACCAAGAAAAGATATATATTTCTTTTATATTTACATCTTATACATATTTACATTTTCTTTAATATTACAGTTGTCAAAGGAAAAAAACCTGGATACAGATTTATTATCTGCCTTTAAATGTCCCAAGAGTACTTTTTTCCCTTTGAAAAAATTTACAAGTCCTCTTCCGGTCCTCTGAAAGCTAGATACAGTCCACGTTCCGCAGGCCACCATCCCTAGTCAAAGCACCAAATCTAAACCAAAAAAAATAGTATATTTTTAGGTGGTTGACTAGATTATAGAATCAATCTTTAATTCATTAGTAGGGTACCCTTTCCCTTGCCACATGCCAACAGAGGCATTCGTACCTAACTTTTGTATGTGCAAAGAAGAGAGGATGCTTTGGTCCAAAGTACAGGACTGGGGGTGGGGAACAGAATATAACTAACTCAACTTGAAGTTAACTCTGCTCTACCGGCAATTTACCATGGAGCTTTCAGGAGATGGTTATTTTTAAATATTTTATCATCATCACAGAGAAAAAGCAAAGTCAGTCTGTATGTGATAACACCACCCCCCCCCTCAGGATTATAAGGAATGTTTGCTTCTTCGCTTTATTTAAGCAATCTGAAAACTGCAAAATCATTCATTCAGATTCATGTAATTCCACAGTTGTTAAAAGTAATGTCTAAAAGCCAGAAGTTAAAAGATATCACTGGATTGCTGCAACAGTACTATGTTTAAATTCATGATTGATCTGTCTGTGCAACAAATATTTTTATTAGTTAAACCTAAGTAAAATGAAACAAAAATGCCACATAAAGGGCTACGTCAGAATGATTTTACAGTAATGTTCCAAGGTTTTGAATAATTTTTTTTTTTTTACATCTCATTTCAATAGTTCAAAATATATTTACAGTTAAAGACATTATAGAATTGTCCCTTAGTTTAAATTCTAGGTCTACAAATAAAGCCTGTTTTAGTATCAGCCCCAAAAGAGAAAACAACTGCTTGCCTTTCCAAAATGTGATTGTTCTCAGCCAGCTCTTTAACAACACCTTCCATTTCCTCCTTTAGTTTCTTCATACTGCAGTAACCAAAAGCAAAAGAGAGGTTATAGTTTTTATATGGAGAGTTACCTGCTCTGATCACTCACCACCACATGCTTTGAGCAACTTGCCTTTACATACAAAATAGGGACAGATAACAGTTGGTTATTAACCAAAAGATAAACTAGTGCTGTTCCTTACTCACTTGCAGATCTGTACCACCACTTGTGCAATATAAAATTCTTGATCTTAATACAGCAATCACTAAGTCAACTATTTTTTTTTCTGTTTACCTACATAGCAGGTATACAATATTACATCAATGCCACTGAGAAATTCTTACCCAAGGGTCATTTCCACTAATGTGTTTGAGCTTGGATAGACTGTATTTATTGTATGTTTCATCCCACTGGAAGCTGCAAACATTTTCTGTGGCAGTGCATCTTGTAACTATAACAAATAAACACAAAATTTAAGTTACAATATAAGTTGTCATGTATATCTTGATGCCCACCTTAAAATCCTTCTTTAAATTCTCCATTGCTATTTATCTTTCCTCTCTAAAAAGTAATTTTACTACATGAAAATACTCTTAATTCTCTCAATTTTGAGGTAATTCTGTTAATTCCTGCAGAGTCAACATCCAAATTTTAACAAAACATTTTCTTTCATGTCACCAGCAGCATTAGTTAAATATATATCCTTTAGCATGTATCCCCTAAATCTCAATTATGAAAGTAGTGTTTTTATGCTCCATAAGAGTATTAAGATAACATTATCTGAGGACCTAGAGATTATGGTAACAATTGCACAGAACATTTCTCAATGAAACCACATCCATTTGCACAGATTTTTTGGGGGAGAAATGCCAACATGACCAAAAAACCCCCAACATCAAATCACCAAAAAACCACAAACCCTGCCAAATGCCTCCCCCACTGCAAATCCAATCCCTCCCCAAACTCGTCATGATTCAAAAAATAACAGCACTCTCTAGTCCACTCTGACATCAGCAATGAAGCTACTACAGACCACATACTGCATCCATGAAGCCCTGTGTTTTAATACAAGTGCATTAATATAAGGCTCACTGTAAACAATACTATTGACATTAAAGTACGTGGAAGTCTTTTATCTATGCAAATACTTCACATAACTTCGAAGCATTCTACCTCATTTATATAGTCCTGGTATTTGGAAACCTCTTCTTCAATACCAAAACATTGGTTGGTGAGGGCCAGTAACTGTTTCCTTGTGTGAAGCATTTTCCTAAAAGAAAAGAAGTTTGCTTTAAAGACCTGCCTGTATAAAAGTGGTACAGTGAATATCACCAACTACTAAAGAAATCAATAAGTAGCTTGCCTTGTCCAGTCCTCAGCTTTGTCCAAAAATGCATCATACTTGCTGACACATTCATCTTTGAAAAGAGCTATGGCTTTCGTAGCATGCAAATACAGCTTCTGCCTGCAACACAAAACAGCTAAAACAGTGTTGTACTGCGTTCAGAACCCGTTCTTCTGACTTACTTTCTGAAATTTGGAAAAGAGGTTTGTGAACTAAAAATCTGTTCAGCCACCTTTTTTTCATCCTGTGGTAATGTGTGAGAACTCAACATTCTACAGGAACTGACAGTTTATATCTCAAAAACATTCCCTAGTAGGGAGAAAAATAAAATTATTTGAAGCATTTAGTTGCAATTATTTGTTAAGAACAAATGGTCAGGTGTCTTCTTTGAATCAGTATTAAGTGAGTTGGTATATTTAAGGAAAAGGGATTCTAAATAGAAAGGACAGAAATCCTTATCATTTCTTATCTGCCTACTGCAGATACTTGGAGTTTCCAGTATATATGAATAATCCTTTGCAGAGAGTAACATACATGCAAGAAAAAGAACAGGAGTTTTGTTTCAGTCTAAATTTACGACAAGAGAAAAAAACAAGCAGAAAAGGACAGGAGAGCAAAACAAAACCCAGTTCTGGCTAGTGCAGCAGACAGTAATCCCAGTGTAACTGCCTTGCTAAGCTATGCACTGAACCAGTAAGTGAAACTAAGGGATACTGGAACACTACAATCAAACACTTGCTTCTAGTATTTCATTAAGTCTTGCATGATAGCTACTGGTTAATTAAATTCTCGATAGAGTGTTGCAGGACTGTTATCAGGAATGCATACCTATCATTCAACCAGAACAAAAAATTCAAACTGAGTGCTGCTCAATTGTTTGCCTAGAGGTAAATATTACAAAGGCCAGCCCCTGCTGCTAATAGCGCACAGCCCTTAACAAAAACTACTGCCGTTTCTCTCTGAGGTGAATCAAGTAAGACGTACTTAGGATCTCAAAATAACCTGAACAATCTCAAGGAGACACGTGTGGTAGAAAATATACCAGTATTCAAATCCATGAAAATGAAGCCTATTTATTTGAAGTTATTCACATAGTAATGCAAGGACATGAATTGAGTAGAAGAAAAATCTCTCTTCTGTTTCCAGTTATCCAATTTAGCTTTCACTATGGGAAAATCAAGGGGCATGCTTGTGAGAAAACAGTGCCCTCTGCATAGCAGCTTTCTAGCTGTAGTCAGCACTCAGAAAAGTTTAGGGAACCACTCAACTGATCAGTTGCTAGACGAATAATTTAATTACTTATACATAAGCATCTAGCACACTTTGAGATAGAATCATAGAATGGCTTGAGTTGGAAGGGACTATAAAGATCACCTAGTTCCAATGTCCCTGTCATGGAACACTGCCAGGGATGGGACAGCCATAACTTCTCTGGGCAACCTGTCCCAGTGCCTCACCACCCTCACAGTAAAGAATTTCTTCAATATATCTAACCTAAACTTCCCCTCTTTCCATATGAAGCCATTATTCCTGTCCTATCACTACAGTTCCTGATGAAGTCTCCTTTTCTGGCTTCCTTGTAGGCCTCCCTTCAGCTACTGGAAGGCTGCCATGAGGTCTCCATGCAACACTCTCTTCTCCAGCAAGGATACCCCTGCCCTGCTTCCGACCATCTGTGCAGAAAGGTGTAGGTTACCCATTTGACTTGTGTCCTACCTGCCAGTCTCAAATACCTTAGGGCAACTTAAATGGCATAGGGAAACTGTGTATGACGAACCAAATCAATCCTGAGACAAGCGCATCAGTGTAGAGTCAGTGGAGCCTAATGGGAGTCTAAACACCCAGGTTACACAGAGACACTTCGTGACGCCACTTCTCGTGACAATTTTAAATAGGCATGGAAAACTGCATTAAAATTTATTTTGCAAGCTATATTTTCTGGAAGATTAAATCATGCTAGAATTTCATTTAGCTAGTCCCTATATTTTTGATCTGTAGAAAATTATGTCCACTTTAGTTACAAAGTCATTTCAGTCTTACTGAGGGCTGTTTCATCCCTGAAAAAAAAAAAAAAACAGGAAAAAAAGTGTACTTCCTGTATAACAGTTATGCCCAGATAACGTACAGGTATTTCACATTTAGAAGTCCTACCAGTGAAGAAATGCCACAGCCAGAAAGCACCTCATTATCACATCCTGTCACCCCAAGCAATCCTAAAGAGGTTATAATTTACAATAAAAACCAGCAGAAGAGGTTATTGGCAAGAACACCTGAAGGACCTGAAAGCAATCATGGTATTTCCCAAAGGTAACTTCAAAACTTACTTGTCAAACTTGTGAATTTGTTCTTCATTATAGGGAAGCCCTAGAATCAGAACAGATGACAGACATTAGCAGTTTAATTCTGTTAGCTGTATATATGCCAAAATCAACTAAATTTACCCATTTCCTATACGGTTTCCTTCTCCTGATAGGTAAAAGTGGTCATTTATTTTTTTTCTCCTCTCCAGTCTTCCAACTAAAATTTATGCTATTAACAGAGGTGTTTCATTGACATGGGCTTTAAGATGGTATCACACAAAGAAAGACCAGCAGACATATTCACTGTGGCTAACTCTCCATACCTGTCACAAACATTCTAGTCCAACAAAGACTGATCTGTCCTTACCTTACATTTTATGTTAAAAGTGAATCAAATAAGTTACTTACTTCGTTCTGCTTTGTCTTTTTTGAACTGATAATAAATGTCTGTGATGGAAGACAGCAGCGCCTGCAGCCTTTCTGGACTAGAGAGACAAAAGGAAGAAAATGAGATTTTACACATAAACTCAAGTACCTATTAATGAGTTTTATGAACTACAACTCAGTGTAGAATTCGACACATATTAGAACATTAAATACAGTTACTCACTTTCTGTCTTTTGGATGCATGCCTTCCTGATTTGCCCAGCCGTCAGCCAGTAAACCACCAGGAGAGAGTTTGGTTTTGATATCTTGAAGACTAGTTTCTATTGTGCCCTGAGAGCTGGAGAGCTACGTAAGAGCAAGAAAGTTCAGTCTTACCACTGGGAAAAGTGAAAAATTACCTGAGGATTACTTGAGACTAAACACATTAATACTATAGACCCATTTATGTCAATGATCTCCATTAAAGAAATATGTCCAGTTATTTGCCAAGGTTTTTCTAAAAGCAAATATGGTATTAAATTTGGTATTACTAAAGAAAGAATCGTATTTGATGGTGGCATTTCTGTTAATTTAGTTAAATTTGATTCTCTTTCAATAGTAAGTTTCAATCTTTCATATACCCGATTTACTTCTACACTTGTTCTTTTGGTTTGTTAAGAATTCATATACTGACTATGCACATAATTCATATCTTTCTTTCTCTGCAGTTCATACAACATTCAAAATAAAAATGCACTAATCATCTTTTGCTTTTACAATGGAGAACTTTATACCTCCTCCCAGGACACCAGTGTGTAAAATTATTTTCAATTTTTCCTTACTTGTCTGGAAATATCATGCACATTTCAAATCAGATTGTTCTGATGGGTCTTTGTGTATATAACATTTTAGAAAGCAAACAAAGTAGTTAAAAATTTCTTACGGAATGGGAAAATAACAGCAAAGTAAAATATATTTCCAGGTTATAATTCTTTACTTGAGTATTTTAGAAAATAAGACCCTATTTTCAGGAACTTATTTTCACTACACTGAGCTAACATAAAAGGCTTTACCCTGTTTTCAGAAAGATATTCACATTAGTATGGACATTTTAACAACTACTGGGCAATCTAAAAATTACACTGAAAATTCAGAGCTGTTTTTCACAGAAATCTGTGTTATCATGTATTTGGCTTTTTCTTTAGAAACACCATTTTCAGAATGACACAGAATCTTTGTACTTACACGCAACAGTTTTGTGTGTATCTCTGAAATTTCATCCACTTCTGATGCTTCCAAGTTGATCTGCATCAAATTCTCATATCTGACCACCAAAAAAAGCATAGTTAGAGAAAATAGACAAGCAGTGAATACACTCAAAATATTTTTTTAATCCAGGCTGTAACAATAACTTCCATTTCTTGTCTATAAAATACAGTCTCTGTCAAACAAAACCATGAAACTCTGACAATGTTATGTGGCCATTAATAATAGAAGTATTTTAGTTTTGAAAAGAAATTCCTTGCATATTTTTTTCTTACGTAGGAACTGCTAAAAAGAAATTTGCAACTTCCATTCCTGAATTCTTTAGTCTAGTCTCATTACTTGTACTTCACAGGCAGTGGAGGACTATTTTCTTTAATCAAAAAACTTTTAAAATGTTACCAAACTAAAGTTACTTAAAGTAGTCAATGACACATAAACTAATACTTCCGTGCACCAAAATGCTTTTCTGAGGAAACTTACTGGAAAGGTTGTGCTAGTAAAAGTTTAAAGGATGGGATGGTAAGACCATCTGTTCATACTGATGTTTTCCATATGACCATAGCTTAAGTGCCAACTTATTCAGGACAATATTTTTCCTGTTGAGTCTCAGATACATTTAATTTTTAAAAATACAGTAACAACCAGTTCAACTGCTTTCAAAAATACACACTTTGCTCAATACTTGTTTACCTTTTCAAATAAAAACTATGCATTGTCACACTTCAAAGCATAGCCTTGTGGAAAGACTTGAACAAAACACTGAGAGGATTCTTTAAAAGTGAAAAAGAATCTGACTCTGAATTGGACATCGAGTGGAATTCGAAGAGGAAACAAAGGTGAGAAGAGGAAAAAAAAATACTTGGAGGGAGAACTGAACAGTGCAATCTCATCTCCTTCAACTAGGACCTGACTGAAAGAGGTAGCGTGGGACAGTATGACCAGTGCAAAACATTTGCTTCCTCAGCATGAAAGGTAAGAGAAATAAGTGTCTTCTCTCATCTTTTAAAACCTGGAGGTCTCCTATACTAAAAGAAAATTCTTTAGCTGCCTAATTATAATTTGTGTCAGTTTTACAGGAAGTGCTCTAAAAATCTTTCTGCCATAGAGACCTGAATGGGTCCATAGAGACCTGAATGGGTCCATATGGGCAACAGTGAGATTCTGTGATAAAGACCTCTCCATTTGAATTAATCAAAATAGGTAAAAATAATAGTCAAGCGCTTAAAATAATGACAGATGTAGAATTTCCTGTTCAGTTTATTTCTGGTGTGCCTACATGCATGCACTGTGATCTAGTGATATCCTAATGTAGCTTTGTTTTTTTGGGGGGTGTTTATCTTTTTTCTTTTTAAATTGCATGGGGGGTGGTTTTGGTTTTATTTGCAGCTGCTCTATGTTATATTTCAACATTAAAACTTCTTCCATGCAGAAAATGCTACAGTTTTAAAGCTGTGAAAGGGGCAGTATTTAAAGTCATACACAACTGAACTCTGTGACAAAAGCACTAATGAAAGGAAATGAAAGCTTCTCGATTCTTTGTCCGGGCTTTACTATAGCTTCTAGAGCCAACAACAGCAAATGAGCTGAGTCAGAGAAGAAAGGAGAAAAAGGACACACACAATTACTACTTAATAGTAATTATTTGTTCTTACTGGGTTAAGCAGCAAAATTAATACTCTGAGTAAAAGCATATGACTAAATCTGCTTAAGTCATTTCCATCAGAAAATCCATGCTGATTCAAATTTAATTTTTAGATGCAAACCCCCCTGCAAATAACCATAACTTGAAATATTACTGTCACTAAAAAGGATAATGAAAAAATCAATGCATTTGGTGTAGTGCTTCTACTCACATTTTCTCAGCTTTCTCAATGTTTCTGCTGCAGAAATCCAGCCTGATGACAACCTCTGTCTTTTTATGAACCATTTCATTGTAATCATCCTTGATTATTTCACTAAAAAAGTGAAGCATTAGTTCATAACAAAAGTATTCAACTGCCATCCTACCAATCAATAACAGAACAATATACCTGCAGTAATAACTGCCACTAGGAATTGCTTTCACTTAGAAATGCATTACCATAATCCTCATATAAAGATACCTTGTGCAAGTTGTTCAATTGTCCCTGCATGTTACCAGAGGTTAAACTTAAATTATGTACAGAAGAAAGTTAATTTGCAAATACCTTAACTTTATTTTCAGGAAAAAATATTTTCACTTTCCTAATAACTGCAAGAAGGAAAAAATTCAGAAAGCCTATTCATATTCAAGGAGTAAGGAAAACCTTCCAAGATAAAAGAGATCACAGAATTGTGTTTTGATAATAAAGGCATACCTCAATTTAAAAAAAAAAAAGGCATAATGAAATGCAATCAATTGCTTACATTAGCCATCGTATTCCTTTTCGCATCAGCTCCTGGTAAAGTAGCAAAGAACTGGCAACTCTACAGGCATAACATACAATACCTGTCACAGCCTGAAGGAAAAAACAAGCAACATAAGAACTAATCTGGCATTCTCTTAACTATTGCTTCAAGTCAGTACATCACAAGAAAGCAAAACAGATTGATAAAAGAAAGAGCAATATGAGGATGGTGATTTAAAATGCAAAATTTGGCCTAAACTTTAGTCAGGAGACAACCAAACACTCATTATGGAGGCAGAACTAAACATGGTAGTGAGTTTTCCAGTTCAGCAGTTTTACAAAAATGACCAAAAGAATGAAACATGCTCTACTTGTCCCCCACAGATTCTGAAAATTTCTAAGAGGCAACAGAAATTCCACCCTTATGCAGAGTCCTAGAGACTCCTCTCTATTGAGAGAAAATGACAAGTTACTTTTCTAATGTTAAATTTTGCATCATCACACCTGATGTTATTAATCTTCTAGCTACTTCAGGACTCCACAGTGTCAGGCTCCTTTCCCCCTAACACTGAATTATGCAATAACAGAGCAGTTGGAATTTAGAAGACTGGACTTCGGGTTTGGTTGTTTGTTTGTTTGTTTTAAATATACAACCATATTTTGTATGCAAAGTAAGGTTTTATTATACTTTTAGATCCTTTGTTAACAAATATATTTCCGTCAATCAGAAATCCTCATTAGCATATTAAAATAGTTTTATTAACATTATTCATCTAAAATTGAGTAGCTTTCATTTCAGTATCATTATCTGAGTATCAGGTATATAAACTAAATCATAAACTAAAATCATAATTACTCACTTTAGCCATACTGGCATCCCCATCCAAATCATAACGTTGATGTACTTTTGGAAGTAAAACTGAAATATAAAACAAGTATCTGTAATTTTTTATTTTCCATAAGACTTCAAAAGTTCAGATTTTCCCTCCCCATCCTGTACACTGTTTATGTGTATCTACATGGATTTTAATCTACTCTGTTACTGCACTGCCTTTTGATATCATGTGGTTCTCATGCACACCTTCAAAATCAGCCTTTGTCTTAAATGCTCTAAATAACTTGGTATCTTCAGCAAACTGACCTTCACTTCCTTTTCCAGACTCATTTTTGAAAATGCTGCACAGCACAAATCTCATGCAGGTCTCCACTAGCAATTTCTCTCCGTTGAGAAAGCCAACTGTATAGTTCTGTTCTTCAGCCCTTTCTTTGGCTGCTCTTTCTATCTCATGGCTGCTCAGTTTCACTGAGACTCTTCAGGGCAGGACTTCACCAAAGAGCTTTTTTAAACCTCTGGTAGCCTCTGTCAGCAGAATCTCCTTTGTTCTCACGCTGACTATCTCAGAAGGCTCTGACAATATTAAGTCCCCGCTGATCCTTTCACAAACAGCTCACCTACCTGCATCCTTCAGCACCTCTGTGTGAGTGACTACTGGCCTGAGCAGTCAGTACGTAGGACATATTGACAAAAGCGACACTGATCTCTCAACTGAAGCCATATCCTCCGCCTCATCACATATAAAAAAGGGCTCTGGCATAGGCTCCTCTGTAAGCCTCTCAATGCTAAATGGAAATTCAGAATCTTGATTTCTCTTTTTTTCCTGTTAGGCCATTACCTTCTCTTCTGAGCAAATGTAAATTATTAAAACCTTCTCTGGGAACTGAAAGGCTAATCATAGCCATCGCAAATATAAACAAAACTTGATTTTCCACTTAGTGAGAATGTAATGGAACAAAAGAACCATCTTCGAATTACCATCTATAATGTTCCTTTCTACTTGTTAAGTGTCATGCTTCAAAAAAAAAACCCTCAGAACTTAATATGCACCACTACATCTTAACACACAAATGCTCAGGTTCAAAGCCCTTGGAACATTACAAGCACCTACTGTTTCTGTGGGTGTTTCCAGGTGTTCTGGATACTTAGAAGTTATGAAAAACATTGGACCACATTCTTAGAACTTCAAGTATCAACAAAGAAAAATTTCAAATGCTATTTCTAAGACGTAACAGACATAAACCGATTACATTAAATAACTCAAACTATTACAAAAGATAGCTATAAGAAAGGGGAAACTGCTTTCATATACCTTCTTCATAGATTAATCCAACAATGTTGACAGGTTCCCTGCTCACTACAAAGATAGGATTCTCCTCAGTCGTTCTGGGGAAGTGCTGTGCCAATCTGCCAGGCTCTAGTATTAAACGCCGACCTTCATATATCAGTTCTTGATTCTGAGATGGAATTTTTGTCTGTTTGTAGACCAATTCATGAAATATAGCAGCTCTATAACACAAACAATATATTCAGTAATAGTTAGACTCACTATAGTTCAGCAACTCAGATTCTGCGTTTAAATAAAAACTGCTTTTACTTCTGGTTAATTAAGAAGTGGTTTTACACATAAAGCATTTGACTTGTAACTAGAAAAAAAGCAGCACGCTGATTAAGGCTCAAGGTTGCTCTGTTACAAAAATAAATGCTATTTCCTGCAAAATATCAAACTTCCTTTCTACCTTTGATTTTCCACCAAAGCACGTCTGTGTAAACAAACTTGCTCTGGTTTGAAGGTCAGTAAAAACAGGCAACAGCAGATGAGGGGAAGGAAGCATACTTAGGTTTTCTCAGCATACCCTTTTCTTCAAAGGGGACAGATGGTCTCTCCAAAAGAAACGTCTGGTGTTTTACACATTAAAAAATTTTAAAAATTAAATTCATCCTGCAAGCTACCAGACAACCAGATTATTTCCTAAAACCAAAATGATAAGGAAGACCAAAGACACTCTGGAATTCTACTTCCAGCAATCAATCGATAGAAGGTATAAAAATTTATAACACTATACATCCCCCCCCCCCAAAAAAAAAAAACACCACACAAAAACCAACCACAGGAAGGACCAATTTGCCTCCTGTGCAGCAGTAGTACACTGCTACTTCTTAATACTACAGCTAGGTTATATATAATCATAAAAGTAAATATTAATAATAAAATAAATTTTGAAAATAAAATAAAAAGAGCAGCTTGAGCTACAAGCAAGATTTCTCCATAAAAATAATATATGCGCTTTCTCAAAATACAAACAACAGAACAGAAAACTTGGAAAAAGCCAGAACTGTATTTATATATCTAATGAAATAACACTATGTGTTTGTGTATTAGAGAATATGATATGGTCTGTATTATCTGTAATAAGGCAGAGAAAAGGCATTTATATTTCTATACTTAAAAGCTTTTAACATCAGCACTTAATGGCCATAAAGTGAACCCCATATAACTAAAGATCCTAAACTATACCAATTACCATTTCAGAACCCCTGCGAGAGTTTTACATCAGAGATGACTTGTGCCTTTTGTGTTCTTGAGAACAAGATAAGAAAAACTAGACCTGAACACAGTCTCTAGAAAATTACTTTGTAGATAAGTAATATATACAAATATGGGATGAATTGGTCTCCATTGTGAAAACAAACACATTGCCAACAGGTCAAGGATTAAGTCTGTGTTTTGTCACTAAATAAGATCAAGTTTAAGATCAGTTGATTCAATTATTTTTATTTCTGGTCAACACGCTTCTATGGACTGTGACTACACAGAATAATTGCATCCTTTCACTTCTCAGATAAACTGTGAAGGAAAGGCTGATGAATTTGTAACACTGCTGATCTGAGGTCACAGTGCTGTTAGCCTGAATAAGAGCAAAGTAATGAAAACAGAGAGAGAAAACACTTACGTATTATAGTTGTGAATATAAATTTTGTGCAAGGTCATCTGCTGTAATGAAAATATGTGGATTATTATTCGGTGCAGTATGTCACTCGTCTCTGCAAAAAACTGGTCAAATCCCCAGCATTTTTCCTGGTCTGCTTCGAGAATATTCGCAAGGACAGGTGTGAGGAGAACTTGCAGACCCCTAGAGGACACCAGGCAGAGATAAGACAACTTGGATGAACTTGGAACTTTTCACTTTGTAACCAGTTGCAATACTTTATTTGACTGGTCTCATGAATGCAAATCTCTTATGCCTGAAGGCCAGTGCCTTTTTCCCTCCCCCCCTCTACTGAGCAACAAAATGTTCAGCAGTAATGCCCATTGTTTTTCATTACTACACACACTTTATGTCTTTCCTTTTTAGCCTCAACTATCACATGTTTTTTCTTGGTATTTAGCAAATTTCACCGATAACTGCAAAAATGACATGCAATTAAACAAGTCTAGATTGCAGAGCCGAGGTCACCTTTTACCACTGCTGTAAGCCTTTTACCCAGCTCACCCCACATGTGCACTTACCACAGTGTATCAGGAAGCTACTGCCATTTATGGTTTGCTGGCAGAGCTGCTTGTGCGAGCACACTATATTGTTTTCAGTCAAAATCAGCTGGGTTAGCAAAGACTCATTAGTTAAATTGTCAACACTAAGAATTCATCCTGATTAAGACAGGGCTAAGTAAGTACTCCACACATGCAGCTTGACTGCTGCAAAGAAAAATGAGTCAACTATTGCCTTACAGTCATTCCCATTCTAAGAGAAAGGTCAGCTTTAATTTCTTGCATTTCTACTTTGAGTATCTGAATTCCAAGGAACTTTATGCATCCTAGTCCAGTGTTACCATGAACAACTTCCCATAAGTTCTAACATTATGTGCACATCAAACCTGAATCCAGCAGTAAAACTGGTAACTTTTTGAAGCAAGCTCCAATGGCTTACAAGCACACTGACGACCCCTTTAGAGGCCAGAGGATGCTGTGCTCAAACTCACTTTAGTACTAAACTTATAACAGTAAATACTGTTTAAATGTTACTTAAAAATATCAGTGTGAACAGATGTTTAATGAAAAAATCTACTTTCTTTTATTATTTCAAGCAGTTCAATTATATGGAATAAACAGAGAAAACAACTGGGCAGTATCATGAAAAATACATATAAATTGCAAGTTCTGTACAATGTAAACTAATGAATTGATAAAAACCAGACTTTGACTCTTACATCCCTTACAGAACTACATATTTGGCTTTCAGAAACTTTGTTTCTAGAGTTGGTTCACAGACTAATTTATTTTCCTCCTTACCATGAAAGAGTAGTAACTTTAAAATACTGAAGAAATCTCAGGAAGATAAAGAGGTAAATAGGTTATGGAAGGTGTTTTCAAGGTCATACTGAAATTAGATCTTCCATGGCTCTTCCAACTGAATATTAAGAACACAATATTATGAAGCAAAAATATGATGATAAAATTTAAAGATACTAAATGTTAAAATATGCTGATGTGACTTTTTCCTAGCAAAAAGTAAGCCTCTGAACTGTTTTTTCTTATTTCCTTCCTACTGCCTAATCTTTGTCATGTCTGAAGTCACATTCTTGCAAGAAGGGAGGGCCATCAAAGTTACTGATTCTTCATATTCATTCCTGAGGGTGGAGAAAATAGTAATAACCTTTCTTCTACTCATACCACTTCAGATTCCCAGGTCCCAATTTGTAAATTAGCAGTCATAAAACTATTTGAACAGATGGGAAGAAAAAGCACTTGATAACCTAATATCAGACTGTACTTATGTACCGAAGAGTTCGAAGAAAAAAAGTGCATCAGATCCCTGTTCCAAAGACACAATCCTGAGAAAATAACTCAAAAAACACACTCAAGTAGCATTGAAACATTTTGTGAACAGTTTAAACTTACTTTGAAAGACTACAAGAGATAGGCATCTCCCAACTCCACTCAATTGGTCCATTTTCTGCTTTCTGTATTCCAGAAATAGCCCCTGAAGGTTTTCCAGTGATTATTTTATACCTGCAATACATTACAAAAATAATAGAGACTTCAACTACTACCTCTTATACATATATAGGTCTAGTAACTAATCCTCAAAGGGCCAGCAATAATATAAATCTAAACAACAGGTTGGCCTAAATTTGTAGATGGTGCAGTAACTGAAGTTTTGCTTACAAGCTGACAGAACAGTGCTGAAAGAGCAAAGAAAAGTTATGCTGGAGAAACAAATTTGTCTACCTCAGGCTTGGGGATGAATTTGGGAGATATTTCCAGCATACTGAAGAAAATCTAAATTTTTCATAAATGTTAATTAATCAAAGTCAATTTAGTGCAACTTAAGACACTAACATGACTAAATTCTAGCGCGTTCCACAGCAAGAGATGAAATTTAGCCACCACAAAGTGGCTTGGGGATAAAGAAGAAACATCTAGAAATCAGGATACAATTCAGCATTGTCTAAATTTGTACTGCACAGGCCAGTATTTCTCAAACTTCTCATTAGATGAATCAGAAGCAACAGGCTTTTTACAACAGAACATTTCAGCTGCGCTTTGTCTTTCTGGAGGACAAGGTACATACAAAAGATATGTTCCCTGCTTATGTCTCAAGCAGCAGCAACGACAAGGGTGCCTGCGGGAAAATCACAAGATGGGAAATTTCTTCAGCTAAGAAAACTGGAGTCAGCTTTACAAGGAATACTAGAACAGAGATCTTATTGGTGTGTTAGAGCTCCCAAGTTCCACCTTGCTTTATTTTTCAAATGCAACACACAGAACAACAAAATAGAACCAGACTAAGATGAAACAGGAATCAAATACAGTCATCGTGCCATAGACACAACTTCTGTTTCTCATTCAGGAGCTATCCCTGTTATCTTCAGCCACAGTCCACAACTGTACTAATCAAATGTTAGTCTCATGGGTAACGCATGCATTTCAAGACTGCCTGGGAAGACAATAATTTAAAGGACTACAAAAATTTGCAGCGCTGAAAGCCAATTTCCGAATACCATAATTTTGCCCGAATATCCAAGTTATATACACCACACAGCAACAGACCAGCCCAGTGCCATGCTAAAGGAAAGATGTGTGAAAAAACATCTGTCTTTTGGGGGAGCTCTGATACTTAATTCAGGTCTTAAGCTGCCACACAGTAAAATCCTTGTTGAAGCAGAAAGTTAGTACTGATTTTGGCTGGGATGAAGTAATTTTCTTCATAGCAGTGTATGGTACTGTGTTTTGGCTTTGTGACCGAAACAGCGTTATTAACACAGCCATGTTTTTAGTCATTGCTGAGCAGTGCTTACACAGTGTCACAGCCTGTTCTACTTTTCTACGGCTTCACCAGCGAGCAGATTGGGGGCAGGCAAGAAGCTGGAAGGGGACACAGGATAACAGCCGAGTCCAAGGGATATTCCATACCATATTGCTCCGCAACAGAAGCTGAGGCCAGGGGGTGGAATTTGCCAGGGTAGCATTTGTTCAGGGACTGACTGGGCATCAGATGGCTGCTTGTGAGGAACTGGGGTTTTTTTGCATTACTTGTTTTTCTTGGTTTTGTTTCCCTTTGGGTTTAAGGGGCAAGGGTTGCTGTTTGTTGTGGTGTTTTTTTACTTATTAAAATGTCTTTAACTCAACCCACTAGTTTTTGCACTTTAACCTTTCCAGTTCTCTTCCCCATTCCACTACAGAGGAGTGACCGAACAGCTGTGTGGTGCTCAGCTGCCTACTGGGGCTATATCACAAATTTAAAGAACATTTTTTCTTAATTATTTTCACTGTTTTAATTATTACTATACGTGTGTAGGATTTATTGCTAAAAAGCATTTCACAGACTGATTTAATTTACCAACAGATAAAATTCTCCTTCTAAATTACCTACATCACTTCCTTGTTTCTACGAGGTCCTTCAAAAGGTCGGAAAGGCAAACTCCCTGTTGCAGCATGGTAAAAGGTCACCCCTATGCTCCACAGATCAACTGTTGCTCCATACTTTTTCTGATGCTCTTTTCTCAAGACTGCTCGCTCATACATATCAGGATGCTAAAGACAGAAGAAAAAAAAAGAAAAAAGAAGTCAGAACTGCTTTATGAACAATATCAAGAACAAACCCCCAATTCATCTTCCCACAGCAGGATAATCTGTCATTCTAAACTTTCAGCTCTTTAATCAAAAAGCAAAGTTAGCATGCATCACAGAATTTGCTTAAGCTATTCTGACAGATTATCACTAGAGTGTTCTAGGCATGACAGTCACTTTTACTGAAAAGTTTGCAAACAATATTTTAAAGTTCAGCTAAACAGCAACTACTTGTATAAAACACTACTAAAGAGGAGAAAGTCAGTATTCCTCTAAATGATATTGGAACAATTGAAATCAAACTGAACAAAGATCCACAGCAGAGGAGAATATCCATTACAATGCACATGTGGGAAAACATGGCAGGAAGAAAACAGTGCCTAAGGTATTTGATGCTTCTCTGCCTGCCCCTCTTTGGTTAATTAAGGTGTCAAGTGAATCTTAGCTACACCTAACATCGTCCAAGTAGTTCAGCTACAAACTAAAAAATATCTACAGAGATAAAGGCAAATCCGCTCATAACTAGAATATTGTTGTTCCTCCTTTCACACAAAACAAGATTTGGCCATGGAAATTATTTCAAGGTGAACATACTCAGAGTAGCAAAAGATGGCATGACCCAAGGTGAAGAAGTTCAGCGTAAAGTTATAGAAAATTATAATACAAAGGTTTAAACACTAATTCCCAACAGCCTGACCTTCACCTATTCAACTCTAATCACAAAAAGCCCCAGACTTCAAACATTTCTTCAAGAGAAAATGAAATCATATGGGCTTACTAAATACTCTTCTGTGCCATAGAGAGAAACAAATTGTTCATCATCTTCAAGTTCTCTTGCAGCTCCAAAGTCTGTAAGTTTATAAACAGACTGACCATCTTCACCTATAACACGCATTATATTGCCTGGTTTGATGTCACGGTGCACTATTCCATTCTCACGGAGATGATTCATTCCAGCCACTTCAATTAAAAAAAAAAAACAAATTCATGTACACATTTTGAGACTGACTGTGCAAACACTGAACTGTAACTGATGCTAGGAAGACACACACGTTCTCTTTGGGAAATGGAAATGAGAAGGGGCACTTAATTCAGAAAAAGACCATGACTAGAGATTGCTTTTTTTTTTTTCCCCTTCAAACATCTAAATTACAGTATTTCTTGCTCTCAGTAATATCTTTCCCATAAAGTAACAGAGGAAAGTTTTGTAAGAGGTAAACACAGGTAAACTAAATTATTTTTTTAATTTACTCTTCTGAAATTATTTATCACTAGAAGTCAGTTCAAAGTGTGAAAAATAATCTTGAAACAAAGAAAGAAAAAAGAATTATATCAATGCTTTAAACAGAAATGGCTTCTTAGTGCAGCTACCTATACCAACATGGACAAAAATAAAAGAAGTGATTCCATATGACCTTATTAATTTGTTCAATTAGCTGACAGTTACGTAAATTTGTCTCTTGTTGTTTCAAAAAACAAGTATGAGTTTGTTTCAGTCAAAGAATTAGGCTGAAGAGTAAAGTGTACATACCCACATCTCTCAAAACAATCAAGAACTCAGACTCTGGCAAACCAAAGGCATTAGATGGCTCCTCTAAAACTGTGTACAAACTCCCACATGGACAAAATTCCATAACTAGAACTTTGTGTCTAGTTGTTGTCTGGAAAAAAATTAAAAAATATTAAGTCTCTGACTACTGTGACACCAACGTTAGAAATTACATATAACCACAAAATCTTACTTTCAAAAAAGAAAAGAAAGTCTGTAGCTATATGATAAATCTCATTCTGGTGATCATCCTCAAAAGAAGTGCAGGTGGATTTTTATATTGTTTCATGTGTTCCACCTTGGAGAAGGGAAAAAACTAAGAAAGCCTCAAGTTCTAGGACTTAGCAGGTTGACAGCAGTATTGATAGGTGGACAAATGAGAAACTACACACCAGAAAAGCTGAGAGAACCAATTATCCTTCTTTACTCTTTACTACTCTCAGCATCTCAGTTTCAGGTCAACTACTGCAATTTATGCTATTAAACAGTTTTACATGTCCTATGTCATTGTTCTAGTTGGTTGCAAAGCAAAAGCGTAAAATTGCCAGGATTACTGAAACCCTAAAGTATCACTATGTATCAAATATTCATAGGCTTATATGGCTTAAAAATCCTAATTCAAGATAAAACTTAGGACCGTGGCTTCTTGAGACAAAGAATCATAACCTGTACCTAAACACTGAAGGTGTTTCGCCAACAGAAAGTAAGTGTATTTTTTGCAACAGCAACAACACTAAGAAACAAAGAAAAGAAGAAAATAGCGGTGGTTGGGTTGGAGTACTTAAATCATCATGTGTGTTACCATTCTTTAAAAATTTAACTATTTGCCCTACAGTTAAGGGTAAAACAAAGAGTTACTGCAGTTATTTCAATGCATCTCAGATCACAACTACAACAATTCATTACCTCTTCTTCGATGGCAAATAATTTTACAATGTTCTTATGATTTAGTTTCTTCAGTACTTCAAACTCTCGCATCTGAACATCCACAGGACGAAGGAAACTTATACTGTTAAATACTTTGACAGCATATAAATCCCCAGTTTTCTGTTCAAAACAAACAAACAACTCATCAAACAGAAGCAAAAGATTGTAAATGTACACATAGACATTATCAAAGCGCTTTGAGTTCTGTTGTACATATGAGCATAACCAGACTAGAAATATTTCAAAATATTATTTTGTTTGAAGGTGAAAACTAAGATTCTACTAAAAAATTACGCATACATTGGTTTAGTTTAATATAGACTAGAAGCAAACTGACTAGCAGAATGGAAACTCATTAGCTCAAAAAATCTAAGTGCTTTTAAAAAAAGAACAGTTAGCATAAGAAAGGCTATGCATTTCAGAATTACCCATAAACTTATCTGAAAAATATATTTTCAGCAAGAGGTAAGTTATTTGGACAAATTAATAAGAGGCAAGCACATACTACAGTTGAGGATCATGGTTTGCTTAAGTTGAGAGACAACTTCCAGTAGCTGAATGTTGTTCTCTTTTCCTTTACTGTTCTGTTTTTACTGATAAACTAGTATTTTGTTTCTTCAAAATAGGCAGTTTCAAGCACTACGTACCACTCATGAAAAATCTTGAAGCAGTTCAAACCCACATAATAATATGAAGAATTAATAACAGTAGTATTTAGGACAAGGGCAAATAATTCAATATTAAAAACAAATCCTCAGAAATGACAGAACTCTAATTCAATGGATGAATATTAAAAATTAAAAACTATGTATGAATAATTACACAGATACAGGCCTGCTTTAGGCCTAAATCTTGAACTTTTTTTGTTGATTTTATGAAGCTACTCATACACAAAATAAAAAATCAAAGTTTACATGTTACTTAGGTCAGTAATTCCTCACAAACCTTCTGTCGCCCTCGGAAAACATTTGCAGTAGCTCCCTGTCCTAGAATGTCAGACAACAGCCAGAGGTAATTTGAAGTGCTCTGCATCTCTGCTCTTTGATTAGACAGTTTTCTTTTTCACCTTAAAAACAAAGCATTCAAAACACTGAATTACAATTTAGCAAAATACATGAAAGGGACTTATTTTAATTAGAAGGAAAAATAAAAACCCAGTCCACAACCATAACTGCAAAGACACACAGAATTAAGAACAACCAAGTAGAGGAATAAGAGGTGAAACGTGGAAACAAAACCAAGCCCAACAATCCAAACTAATGCCATAGACACAACACCTTACTGCATTTAAGATCTGTACTCCCCCAACTTTGTTTGAAAAAATCAACTGGAAAAGTGAAAGCTTTATAATCCCTTTACTCTTGTATACAGTAAAGTTTAAATTATAAAGTAACAAAAACTACAGAGAAGAGTAAAAAAAATGTGCACAAGGTCTTCTAAAGATAATCTAGACCTGTAATTGAATTCCATTATTCTGTCCATATGCCAAAGAATGGATATGGCACATGTGGATAGAGATCTTTTAAATCCCTTTGGCTCTGGAAGTTGCATTTCAGTACAACTGTAAAGGAACTGGACTAACTACTCACAAATAGCTATTTTTACATGAGCTAAATAAAAGTCACAATTGACGCTAATATTTTCAGCTACTTGCTAGAATCACCAGTTACTACTGCAAAAAATTAAGGATCATTTTTCTTGTTTCTAAAATTTCACATTAGACAGTCATATCATTTCTAGACAGACAGCCTGGCTTCAAAATGTAAACTGTCAGATACTCAAGTCTTCACAGATTCAAAAGAGAGGAAAAAAACAATTCCATTAAATTAAAATTACTGAAACAAAACTTTAGAACTGCCAGATTTTCCCACTTGTCATAACAGCAGGAGCTGCAGGTGAATACCCTTACCTTTTTCATTTAATGAAAGCACTGAGTTTGCCATTAAATCTATCAAATGGCTCTAAAATCAAAGATGCAGCTTCCCAAATCTAAAGAATCTCATGAGCAAAATGACAACTGGACCAGGGAATGGTCGGTCCTACAGCAGTAGTCTTTCCTCAGCTTGGCCAGGGACACTGCATGTGCCTGTGTTAATAGACAGGAAACTGCTACTGATAATCAAACAAAGAAGCCTTTCCCGTAACTACTGAGGAAGAGCTTCGACAATTTCCTGTGCAGGTTTCTTACCGGAAGGCGGCTGGCACTGTCTGAGAGCTCCCTGGTGCGTAAGGTGGCAGCACCAGAAGCCTCACAGTGTGCACCGCAGCAGCGCAGAGAAAGCCGCACAGGAGCCACCACAGCACCGCTGCCCCATCCTGCTCCAGCAGCCGGATGGAGCACCCACCTCTGCACCGTTCCTGATCCCACCCACGCTACGCTGTATATTCTCATGACTTTGAACACATTTCTCCACGGGTACCAACTGCAGATTTCATACTTTCATTTAGCTATTTGCCCATGGGAGATGCAAAGCTTCTTCCAAAGCAGTCCCAGGGTATCCAGGCAATGACTTGCCCTACAGAATGCAATGACACCATGCAAAGCCCTGACATTACTCTAAAATAAATCGAGTCATGCAGCAACACCACATGTAAAATCTAAATAAAGTTCTCAGTGCCTCTAGAAGGGATGAGAGGTTTCATGTCAAATCTCAACCAGAAAACCTGCACACCACCCCCACATCCCAAACCCTTACAATTCCTGGTTAACTCTGGCAAGACAATTTGTAATAATAGAATAAGATAACTTCTCCCAGCTGGCAATTACTGTAGATGCCAAAGAACTATCTATGATGTAGACACAAAAAGTAAGGAAGAGGTGATGCAAAGAAATAATGCATAGCCTGCTCTGTAAATAATTTGTAAAATCTTCAAATTAAAAAGAAAATCTTCATAATTAAAACTCTGATTGAAACAAGCCAGTTTGCACTTTACCAGTAAACTTGTATTTTGTCATCTACTTCAAAGCAACATGCATTAGACTCATACGAAGACACAGAAACATAACTAATCCTTTCTAAGCAGACAAAGTATGGAGAATTTTTTCACCAATGTCTATCCAAATACAAAAAAAAGTAGCAGCCTATTAGGAGACTGAGTTATTAAGTTTCCCACAGTGATAAAGATGAGGGAGCTTACACACCAGATCTCTTTTCCTTTACCTTCTTACTAATTAAATTTGCATGAAGGTCAATGTGTGAAAAAAAACACCAAAAAGACAAGTCTGTGACAGATGAGCCTCAATAACTTTCAGTGGATATTAAGAAAAACCCAAACCAGCAAGGTTTTAATGGATTCTCAAGGTCTGGGCTTTTTCACACTTAAAACTACGGATATAAATATGCCAATATTAATCCCAGGATACATATTTAGCAGCAAAACAAAATCAGTGTTGTATTTGTCTTGTCAAAATAATATTTTTATATTAATAACAAAGTCTACATTCTTTTTGGCAGAGTCTTCACTTTTAAGGCATGAAGTCTCATTCAGATTTAATCTTGAAATTATAATAATTTGACTGAATAACCTTCCTAATGTTAGACCTCCTTTGATTTAATAGCTTTCTGTTCTCTGACAGATTCATAACTGATCTTTGCTAAACACCTTAGCATGGCAACTTTTTTCTTTATATCTTCCTAGAGCTTCTTACTAAAAAAAAAATTAGCTCTAACTGTATGATTGGTTCTGTCATGAGACTTAATGCTGAACTTTCCATTTCTTCACATGTCACTTATGGTCATTAACTCTGTGATTAGATGAGTCAAAAGTTTCTCATATATATCTAAAGAAATCTCTCCTGCCAGAAGTTTGATTTATTGTCGCCCATGACTCACTAGCATTTCAAGGGCTTAGGGACTGCTTTTTGGGTGTTTTTTTATTGAATATTTTTCTGTTTCTGGTCATGCTACTACTTTTTAACTTATCAGCAGAGGGGACTGGAATAGAAAACATCTGAATTGCTTATGTGTTTTTTTTTTTAAGTCCAGAAGCAGGAGTACTGACTTCTTCTGATCAATAAGAAAAAGTTTGCTGTACCTCAGGCACACCCAGGATAAGTGTACAAAGCAGGTACAGTTCCCCTGTTAACACCTGCATGCAGAGACAGATAATGAAGTTAAGGTGAAGGCTCTTTCTGTTTACAGGCAAGACCTTATATGTCACCAAAGCCAAGAGACAAGGTGCTGAGGTTCCAAATAAATGTTATGTTAGCATTTACAGTCTGGTAACTATGAAGATTTTATACTTCCCTGCATGCCCTCTCTTAAGGCCTAGAAAAAAAATCTTCTCCCCCTGAAGCTCCTGCTTTCTACCCCTGCTTTCTTCAGCTATAACCTCCTCAGGGAAGTTTCCAGTGCAACAGCTGGTATCGAAATCATGGAAATACCCTGCCCTCGGCCACACAACGTGCTGCTTGAATCCGTACGAAGCAGCGCATTCTTCCAAAGGCACATAAAACCAATGGCAAGCCTGGCTCCAGTGCTGCTCATCCCTGCTCTCGGCATTTCCAGTCCGTAACGGGGGAAGAGCACTCGGCCTGTCTGGGACTGCGGCTCCTGGAAAGCCACGGAGGGCCACGAGCTCGGCCCGATCGACCCACCAGCCCCTCTCCCAAGGGCCGTGAGGTACGACGGGCACGGCACCGGGGCTCACCTCCAGGGCAGGAAGTCCTTCCCGGGGTAAAACTTCAACAACTCCTACAGCCACAAAGACGACGCCACTTCCTGAAGCACGTTCACGGGGATGAAAACCACCGACCCCGGGGCAAGGGCCGAGCCCTGGGCGCGCCAACACGCCAGCCCCGCCTCGTCCCTCCCGGGCTGCAGGGCCGGGCCCGCCGCTGCCGCCCGCGACCCGTTCCGGGTGCCGCCTACCCCCGGCGAGGCCCCGCCGCCTCCCCGGGAAACCGAAACCACCGCGCCCGGCGGCAGCCGCGTCCCCTCGGTGACACCGCGGCGGCGGAGAGAGCAAGCGGCTGGCTCAGCCCACCTCGGCTCGGCGCTCCACGGACACCGCCACCCCACCCCACCTGACCCGACCCACCCTGCCCTGCCCTGCCCTGTACTGCCCTGCCCGCCGGCCCTACGCACCAGCCGCTTCCCGCCGGCCTGCCCAGCGCCCCGGCCGCTTCCGGCTTCCTGCCGGCGCGGGGAGGCGGAGCGGCGGAGCGGCGGAGGCACCGCCCGGCCCCGTCCGCGGGGGCCGACTCTCTGGAGGGCGAGGCTGTGGCGCCCGCCTACGGAGCGAGTGAAGGGAGAGTCAAGGAAACCATCTGGGAGACATGGGCGAGTGGCAGTCGGATGTTCTGTAAAAGCGGTCGCTCCGGCTATTTTCGCTGGCGCGATGTTTCCAGCGGGCTCGGAGCGGTTCCGGTCACGGTGTCCGTGGTGATTTTTTTGCTGCGTAATCGCTCCGGCGGAGGTTCCGCTGCCTCGCCTGACCCCGGGCAGAGCTGCCGCTGTCCTGCCTCAGAGCAGCGGGCCAGAGCTGCGGGACCCCCGCCTCACCCATGGCCCTTCGTGGGATTCCCCCCCTCACCCCGCATTTAAACTTAGCAAAATCTTGGTAGCTTTCATACATCGCTGCTCCCACTTAGTTTTTACTGATGTGTTTTAAAGCAAACTTCCCGGTTGATTTATGCCTTGCTATGTATTTCTTGTCTGTCTGGCAATGTTGATTTTCTAATACATAAGCTATATAGCTTCTATAATGAAAAATGTTGATACCTTTATAATTTATGCATAAGGTAGTCTGAACATCATCATCATGGCTAGGCTTCACGAACGAAGATTTGAGAAGGGCTCTACCCACGCTTGCTACAAGCACGCTGATGGCTAAAAAGGCCAATGCAAGATAGACAAGTCCGGTTGCAGAAGGTACAGCAGAAAGACTCCCCAGGTGATATTGACGAGATGTGATTCTTTCTGCGTTGTCTTTTCTCCTCGAGAGTGATCCTGTATGTGTTCTCAAAAGCAGCAGCAGCGTTATAGATGGTGTGTCTCCAGGCCTCCCGATTGGAGGCCAGGGTAGACCAATGGTGGTGATTGATATGGCCAAGGCTGAGGGACTGTTTCAGGCAGTCCTTGAATCTCCTCTTTGGGGCTCCTCTCTTGCGGCAGCCAGTGGCAAGTTCCCCATATAGCACGATCTTAGGGAGCCGGTGGTCCTGCATCCTGGAGACGTGCCCTGCCCAGCACAGCTGAGTTCTCAGCAGCATGGCCTCAATGCTCGTGACTGCTGCCTGTTCAAGGACAGACGTGTTGGTCACATAGTCAGTCCAGTGGATGTTTAGGATTGTACGGAGGCAGCGCTGATGGAAGTGTTCTAAGAGACGCAAGTGGTGCCGGTAAATGACCCGTGATTCAGATCCATATAAAAGAGCAGACAGTACAATGACAGTCTGTAAACACTGATCTTAGTACTTTTCTTCAGGTGTTTGTTTTGCCACACTCTTTTATGGAGTTTACCAAAAGCACTGTATGCCTTTGCTAACCTGTTGACAATTTCAGCATCAATCTTGCCGTCAGTCTGAACATAGTTATAGTGGGAAAATAGTCAAGACTGTGACGATGTGTCATTGCCCTCCCCCCCCCCCCATTGATCCTCTGCATTTGGGGAATTTGAGATGGAAGCTGGGAATTGCCATCTTCACAAATCTTAGAAGTTTCTTGAGGAACTGACATATATGAGATGGCAATCTTTTGCTCACAGGCTCTGTTTATTGTTATTTTCTTGCTTTACTGAACTTTTATCATAAGTCTGCACTCTCTGGTTCACTTTTTACAAGACTCTAAGGTTTTTCTGAAGTTCTCCTTTGTAAAACTGAGAGGTTGACTTTAGTACATTGTATGCTGTTAATATAAATGCTTTACTTACGTTGCTCAGTTTTTGGCAGCTGAGCTTTGCTTTATAATGTTTCTACGTTGTAGAGAGAATAGTTCTCCACCATGTTTATTTTCTGTCCTTGCAGCTTTCCAAACACTGCACCACTCCTCCAAAGCTACATGGTTCATTTGGAACCCTTTCCTCTATATCCAGCTTTGCAAGCTGGTTTTTTTTTA